TGCATTACCATCTTTTAGCTGGACATTATGAGTTGACAGCCTGAGCAACATGGAGCAGATTGGGACCAGCCCGGTGTGACGAGAAAATATTTCGCAGGTCACCAAGAAAAGGAGGCTACTGGCAAACACCAGTGGAAAGAGACAGACAACTGCTAAATCCAAGCCAATGTCAGCGGTGATCGGATCGGCCTGAAGAGCAGCACCTTCCTCCGCCATCGGGCAATGTCTCCAGTGATGCTACGGTTGTTGCTAACGACATGGAGCAGCGTAGGAAAACCAAGACAACAGGACGAGACACTTACGGGGAGCAGGGGTGCTGATCTAAAGCGTTCAGGTGGTGAGAATAAACAGGTCGTGTCATCACAGGATCACGGCGGAAAACAAAGCATGCCAAAAAAGGCAGCTGCGTGATGTTGACGGAGTGACCCGCCACGTGTCGTGGGTTTTTGCCTGCACCGAGCAGCAGTGTTTTCCCAACGTTGGAAAAGTGGCTCCAGGAACCCAGTCGTAGGAAAATGGATTTGGTTGGCTGTCGAGAGGTAGTGCGATTCTGCAGAATCAGGTCCGAGGAGCGAGGACCACGCTGGGGGTCGTGGGACCCGCCAACAATTCTCAAGCATACGAAGGCTGAGACGCCTAGACGGACACCCAGAAGAGGAGCAGAGGCGGGGTGTAAACCATTAAGAGGCTCAAAATTATTCAGAATAAGGATTAGTGAATACCATAGTAACCGTTCATCAAAGAGATTAAATTACAAAGTGTCTTGATAGAATGATGGATTGACTGATGGACAGAGTTAGACAGAATGATAGATAGACAGATAGACAGACAGATAGACAAATAAAATGGTTGATAGACAGACAGACAGGTAGAGATATCTTTTTCATATTTAAAGATCATTAAACTGCACAGGTATCTGGGTACGGATCAGAGACTTCATGAACATGGAACCACCACGGCAGACCATCCGGCTAATTTAACTTCATTCATATCCATGCAGGCTCAAGGTTCTAATTTCAATACAATGTACTTAACTTTTTTTTCTGTAATTAATTACATGATGTGACCCACGGGGAGCTGATACATAAACTGACAGGACTGTTAACCAGGACAACAACAACAAAGATTTACTTCCAAATTAGTAGCGTGAACAGTGAAAGTCAATAAACGAAAAAAATGCCACCAGCGGACCCAAAAGTACCTCAGCGAAACACTCAGCGTAGGATGTTAGCCAGCTGCAATCAAGTTCCCGCCTAAGAAGTGCACCTAAAACTCATCAGCACGAGATAAGATTTGGAGACATGGGGTAATGCACAGCTCACATTTTCAAGTATCAATCCCGACAAGATGTTGCAGACGCACGGAAAGTGTCCGAAAGGACACAGACGCCTGGGCTTCTGGGCAGAATCTCAGGTGTCAACAGTCACAAAGAAGAGCAAAAGAGGTTTCCCATTCACGGAAGGTGGACTCCTGTGTTAACACACGTACAATGTGAATCACTGACGGCTCGGATGCGTGATACGTTACAGTCTAAGATAGTTTTGTAGCAGCTGCCATTTGCTGTAGACAATTTGGAAATCTACGCACACAAAACATAATGTAATATGTTCCAGGTATTCAGCTGTCAGACTGAAGAAAACGAATACCCGTTTGCCTCAATTTACTACACACAGAGGATTCAAAACTGCATAAAAATTAATTATCTGATCCAGAAAATGAAAGCAAAGGAATATGGAAGCGGTTATTTTGTTGAAGGTCTGCTATTGAAATACTGACTCGCGTATTTTGCAGGTGTATGAAAATGACCCACCTGTTAGGGATTTTTATTTTTAGTGTTTGACAGACAAAGGAGTATTATGAGTTTTTTTTAAGGAAAAGACCTATTACATTAACAGTTATTTAAGAAATAAGGGACTCAAACTGCATGACTGATACAAGATTTTACTTGTAATTAGAGTCATTAAACATGATTTTAAACACAAGGTGTATGAAAATGAACATATATATATATATTCATGTATGACTGAAAAACTGTGATGTGCACCAGAAATGGACACAACTCTGTAAACTGACTGCAACTCAATTTAAAAAAATAACATAGTTAAACACAAGGTGGATTCTGGGCACAACACTTTGACGCCTTATACGTGGTCTGTGTACACAATCTACCTAACGTGTCTACGCCACCTGCATAACCTGCTTAAAATAACAAAAGACAGCTGTGCTATGGATTTAGCAAGACAGATGTGTTTACCTCTAGTATGGGATGATTCACTGAAGATTAATACAAGTGTCATCCCAAATTACCTGACCTATGGTCTACTGAAAGATGAGCCACGGAGATGTTTGATCGTGAAGGCAAGACACGGAAGCCACACGAGGCTACTGATCAAAGTGAATTAGGTTCTCGAATTAGCTCACAAACACACGCAGCGGACCCCATGGACTTATGAATGTGATGTGGGCAGATTTCGGAAAGGCGGTGGATGTGATTGGGTTTCACTGGTAGCTCCCCTCTGCCTACCAATGAGATCCCTGTGTATCTATGAATGAATCTCTCCGTGTACGGGGTGGAGCAATTCTCTGAGAAACTAAGAGACGCTCCGAAAAAGCTACCATTCACAGGGAGAGCATCAAACTCAATAAACACGGGTGAGAGGGGAACAACACAAGAGAAACCCAAAGCTCCCTGATGATTTCAACCCACGTGGGTGGTGTTCCCCTCCATCCTCCGTTATTGTCTAAAACCTACCCTCAGCACCTTCAAACATCTGTGTCGCCCTCTCCTCTAATTATGCACCGCCCCGCCCCGCCCCCGCAACATGCTGGCAGTTAATTACACATTCTCTTAGTCCCTAATTACAGTCTGGGTGGTTTTCCCAACAAGACGTGAAGCTTCTTGGGAACTGTGTCAAAACCCACGTTCCTTTTGCAGCATCTGCCTTCCTGCAGCACATGGTGTGTTGTCAACAAATGCTTTCTGCTTAAATGATAACCACACGTCACAGCACGCCATGTGGTGAAGGCCGACTTCAGCCGAGACTCCAGGATAAGATCTGGATCCAAAATGATGAGAATTTAGGCCAGCCACTTATTTACTAAGACACATTTTTTTTTTTTGCCACTTTCTGTCTGCACAATATATAGCATTGCTCTCCTATCTTGTTTATGTTCATGATACCAAGTCTTTTTTCTTTTTTCTTCAAGATGACACAAGGACTCTTCCCTGAGACAAGACACTTCAAGAAAACATCGGATAGGTTTCTGCATCACCAAGCTGATCATACAGCTGACTTCATCTCACTACTCTTGGGCATAAACTGAACACATGACAAATTGCTTCCGCTTCAAATGCCTTCCTACTCATAAGCAGCCGAGGCACCCACTTTAATTACGGAAAACACAAAAACGTGTCTTCACTCCTTTCTCTTATTTACTGCTTTCGTTTCAAGAATCTACTGTGCAGCACAGGAAATATATTCAACAGCTTGCAATAGCTTATAATGAAAAAAATATGAAAAGGAATATATGAATGTGTGTGATTGAGTCACCATGCTGTGCATGAGAAATTAACACAACATTGCAAATCAACGATACTTGAACAGGAAAAAAAAATGAATCTATATGGTTCACATTTTAGGGCAAACCCTGAAAGCTGTTCTAACTTACACACGGAGGATGGTACAGGAAACAGGCAAACTATGAAGTTTTCCCAGAATCCTGTGAAAACTGGCAAATAAATTTGCTTCATTCTTTTATCATTTCCACGATGGTGATAATGATATTTGATCTTTCCTTATTTGAATCATAGAGTCATAACTTTGCATATACCCTCAATTTCCCTGCATCATTCTTCTTTCTTTCTTTTCTAAAACATTGAGCTACAGTTGATTCACAATGTGGTGGTAGATTCTGGAGTACCGCACAGTGGTTCACTTATACCTATATATATATTCCTTTTCATATTCTTTTTCATTATAGTTTATTACAAGCTACCGAAGAGCTTTTCTATGATCAGGGATGTTTGTTAACGCAGCACAACTTAAGTTAAACTGACTGACACAACATGCCTCTAGCTCATACCTGCGGCATGCAGACATGCTGTGAGAACTTCTGCCTTGAAAGAAATACAGTCATTTTCTCTTGGGTCTGTATATCCCTCCAGCTGCTGCCTAGTTCTCTGCTCTCTTATAGAGAAGTTCTCCAAAACGGTTGTCTCTATACCCCGACTCCAATTCCAACGTTGTATTGTCTATTAAACCTATTCCAACCGGGCTTGTGCACCTAACAGTCTTCCAAAATGACTACTGCTCTAGTAAAAATTACCAGTAACTTCCAGGTTGCTATGTTGGTGACCTTTTTTCACTCCTCTGCTCTATCTCCAGAACTCTCCTGGTGACCTCATTCACTCTCCTGACCTTAAATAACGGCCACAATGACTAGTCCGATATTCTTTTCTTTAGCACAGATGTCTCCTTTGAGCCACAGATGCTGACATCCCCCTGCCTACGGGACATCTCTTCTGTGACGTCCCACATACACTTCCAACTCAAATTTTCAAACCTCAGTGAATTTTCAAGGTTTTCTCCTTTCTCTCCAATTTCATTTGTCTGGAATCTCTTTCCTTTCTGGAGCTTAAATAAGAAACACTGGACTCCTTTTTTATTGCACATCCAAATTACCTACAAACCTTATTTTCAAAATATTTAACAACAACAAGAAGAACAAAATACCCAGTGACTTTTCCTGCTCCCATCCTAAATGTGCAGTCACAGTTCCTCATGTTGACTCCTGCGTTCACCTTCTAACCTGTCCCCTGATTTCTGCTCTTGCCCCCATGGCCTCGTCTTGACAAGGCTGCTGAAGTGAATTCACCACCCCTTCCGTATTCTTCTAATTGTTCTCCTTTTGTTCTCAGAATTAAAGGCAAATTCTTCATGGTCCCATCCCACTTTGATCCCTTTCAATCTTACTGGCGTTTCCCAATGCAGCTGTTAGCCCTCCCACTCCAGGGCCTTTGTGCTGGCTGTGCCTTCCGCCTGGGACGCCTTTCAGGTGAGGCTTCCTTCCTCACCTCCTTCAATTCTTTACTCGCATTCTCCCTTCTCAGTGAGGTGCATGTTGACCACCCTGCTTAGAACTGCAGTTTCCACGGCAGTCCTAATCTACTTTATCCTCTTCTGTTTTTTTCATAGCACTCATCACTTCCCCAAATAACACAAAACATATCTAATTCTTAAGTTTATTTTCCATCCCCTGCATAGAATATAAATTTCATGAGGCAGGAAATTTTGTCTATTGTGTTGACAAGGATGCAGTCTACAATGCTTAGAACAATTCCGAACACACGTTGAGCACTAAGATACTGGTTGGAAGAATCGATGGTAAAAATCAATTATTAAAAGATACTATGATGTGAATGTTGGTTTTTGGGGAAATTATACACACTGCTATACTGATGTGTAAAGCACAAAAAAGTGAATGTTTAAAAATGTTAGAGACTCGTTTACTTGAAAAGTCGAATTTTCAGGTTAGGGGAAGTGATGATCAACAAAGGACAAGTCGAGAAACTGTACAGAAGGAGCTTCACCAGATACAGAACTACTTGAGACGTCCTTCCAAGGTTACCGAGGCATGACTCAGACGGCTGCTTCCAGTGCTGCAGGTGGCTTCGCCTTAATTTGCTCATTTGGCTTCCTGCTTTTGTCACAGATGAACTGATATTTCAGTTCCTTTATTTGTTCCCTATTTTTGTCCTATATATATATTAATTGAAGTATAGTCATTTTACAACATTGTGTCAGTTTCTGGTGTGCAGCACAATGCTTCAGTCAGACATGAACATACATATCTTCACTTTCACTGTCTTATTTTGAGATGTCACCAATGAGTCTATAGCCCTTCTGCACAGACATGTAACAATTTGATGAACTGCATATATTCTCTGGTTTTCAAAGGGTTGTCCTTTTATTTCTGTCACCTCCACCCCATTCTGTGTCTACCTCCTCCCAGCTCTTTTCTCATGAAGTCTTAAGAGTCCTAAAAGATTCTTGAAAAGCAGGGTTCGCCTGTGTCAAGATTTTATCAACATTTTCTCTGCTTTACAGCAGATGGGTAATGCAGCTGCACATCTGGGAATAGCTTCTGGAGGATGATGAAGCCAGCCTCTGTCTTTCACAGGAGGACCAAAGGCTACCTTGCCTCTGAAAACACGTGAACCTCTGCTGTTCCTCAGAGAAGAGGTTTCCCTTCCAGAAGAGATGTGCCGACCTTCTCCTGGGTGCCATTCCATTTCCAGGAAACACGTGTATGATTATCTCATCTTAGAACCAGGTAGGCAGGTGCATGCTGAGAGCTACATAGAGAGCATGATCAGGGAGAGGAAGGCAGAGAGCAGCAGTCTCTTTGGTGAAGTGTGTGTGTGTGTGTGCGTGTGCACAGGGAATGTAAGTGGAAACAGAAACATACAGTGGAGTCAACAACAGAATAGAGTTTGTGCAGTGGAAGGAAGCAGAAATGCACAGGAGATCAAGAGGGAGTGGAAACTACTAAGACACAAATGGACTGGCAAAGAAAAAAGTCATCCCTGCTTATGATTACAAGGTCCTACATGTTCAATTCCAAACTTTAGGAAAATACAGAAAAGTAAATAAAAAAGAAGAAGAAAAAGATAAGAAACAAAGGATGGCAGACAATTGAACGACACACAACGATCACTTTTAATCATATTTTATCATCCAAGCTTTTTTCAAGGGAGGATGAGATAGTTGGGAGTTAACTAACTGAACACTTGAATAGGATGTCTACCACACAGCCAGGGCTTCCTCTTCAAAGCTGATTTCAATATAGAAGTTCTGGAAATTTTGCTTTGGTGCACCAAAAATGGAATCTGTTCTTTGCCAAAAAAAAAAAAAATCTCCATCCAACTCACGTAGGGTGGGTCAGAAAACATGGCCTCAATTTTTTTGGTGCCTAAAATTTTCTCTTATGCTTCTTGACACACTAAGGTTATTTGTTTGGTTTTTTAAGGCTGCTTTTTCAAGTAATTAAATTCCTCATTTAAAAATGCCAACAACAACAAAAACAACAAAATAAAACATGCCAAGTATGTTTTTACCAATTCTACATTCAGCTAGGAAACAGAATAGATGGTTCCAACAAATTATGATTATCTTAAGATTGATTTTTAAGTATAATACTCATTTTTTAAGTTTTTAGAACTTTTTCCTTTGCAGGGGTATAAAGCTCATTTTTCAACAACACTATCTGTACCAGTTTTAGTGTTTAGTGCTCAGATATATTAGCAAAGGTTTGAGTCAGCTATGTATGTTTTAACACAGTGGTGAATCAGATGTGATGTTTGCCACTCCCATCCAGGGTTGTTCTACTCAGATAAGTAACATGATTCCATGTGTTCTTCTTCCTCAGTGGTTACCTTTCCTTACAAACATCCTCTACTTTTCAGATGTTCAGTGTCCTATCATTTCTGTCCTTTGCAATTCTTCTGCAGAAAGAGAAGTCCACTTTCTCGCCATGCACTTTCACGTTGGTCTCAGAGCCTATTTATTTCTCTTCCACTTTCTTCTCTGCATGCCCTCTTCAGACCCTTGGTATTTTTTTCTTCCACATGGCTTTACCCAGTTGACATTCCCTTTCACAGTTTAAATGCCACTCAAGACAATAAACAAGCAAATGCAGACAATCTGGATTAAGAAAAGTCTCAGGAGGCATGCAAGTTGATAACCGTCCCTCACCCGCCCACGACTGCCATTCTCAGTGTTCATCCACAAACAGACGTGGGTCGCTGGTGAGTTTTGGCTTCTTTCTTATAAGTACACTGCATGCGATGATCTTGAGGTCCTCCTATCCTCCAGAGACGCTCATTCTCCTTCCTACCTTCTCTTTCTTCTCATCTTTTTCTTCTTGCTTGGATCATTCCTTCTCTGATCTTTCTGCCACTATTATTTTCATAATAGTGGTTACCCTGGCACCTTAACCC